TTTGATTTTTCTTGACGATTCTCTTCTACCTTTTCTAGATTTTACTTGATGGATGTTAGAAGAATATGAAATACAATCTTAATGTGTGGGAAAATTTATAAAATTTGCATTCAGTTTTGAAGTTGAACCCTGATAGCAATAATTTCATTGGGCGTGATTCTCTTATTGTATGTGCTAGTGCTATTGCTATTGCTCTCAGCTATGTATGCTCAGCTTTTTACCTATAACATTTTAGTGTGCTATTGTGAGTACACTGTGAATGAAAGTTGAAACCTGTGGTAGCATCATCCTCAACAACACCGTAGCTGTTGTATCATTCGGTCTTGAAGCAGCTTTCATTGAAAGTCCTGAAATCATAGATCCCATCCTTGATATTTCTGGTTCCTATCAATTGGGGATCACTGAATCAGATTGATAAGAAATTAATGTAAAAGGAGCTAGGATAACCAGCGTAGGAGATTCACTCTTATAYGGCCTATTCTCCTAAATTTTCTACAGTATTGGATGAGCTTATAGGATAAATTCTTGGAAGGGAGAAAAATTGGAGGGTGCTTTTCATTGAGTTAGTTGGAGGATTACTATCCTGTTGAACGAAAAGGGAGGCTTAGCATTGGAGGCATGGAAAAAAGAAATATTGTCTGCTATATGCAAGGGCTTTATAGGCTAAATGGAAAACAGGATTCTTTATAGAAGGTGATTAGTAGCACAGAACTGATGTATCTGGTCGACTTTCGTAGTTTGTGATTATTTTAGTGCAAAAAGCCCCTGTTTTGACCCAAGTATATCAACCTTTTGAAACATTGTATTAAAAGAAGTTATTGGAGCGCTCCACTTTATTTTTGCTGCTACGATATCAATTTATGGAACGATCCTGGGTGTTTAAGCAAAGAGCTTCAAATCAGTTGCRACTGTTGAAAGCAGATTACGGAATACACTTGAGTAGAGATTACTAACATCATTCTTGATYCATAAATGTGCACTTTTTACAAGTTATGTTATATATATTTCAGTATTGCATCCCTAAAATAATTGTGATTTGTAGTCTTTTACGGATTTGATGTTAATTTTGCATACACCATGATRCTGAACTTTCTGAAAATGCTTGGAATTGTAGTACGGAAAGGATTATGAATATGAAGCTCCAGTGAAACTTTTGGACAAACTATTGCATTCAATGCCACAATCACCAGATGAGCAGCTAGTAGTGGTTTCTCAGGTTATCTCTTCACTTCCTTGCTCTATATAATGTTGTGTTACTTTCCTCAGTCTTTTAACTTCTCAAACTTTTCTCCTATCTTGTAAATTTCTTGCAGGTACTCGTGGCCGATATCAACATTGGATATGAAGACATCGTTAACACTCAGGTTTGGATTATATCTTGCCAATAGCCTTCTGAAGGATACCRTTTTAATTGCAAGTAATAATGGTGCTTGATCGTCTTTGTTTGTGCATCATAGGTTCTTGCTTTCAATGGTAAACCTGTGAAGAACCTCAAGTGCTTGGCCACCATGGTCGAAAGTTGTGATGACGAGTTTTTGAAGTTTGATTTAGAATATCAACAGGTTCTATTCCCCCACCCCCTCCATCTTAACGATTATCTCTCCAGTTTTTAATGATATCTCGACCCGAGTCTCATTGTTTCTTTGCTTCAATTTTCCAGATAGTCGTCCTCCGAACCAGTACAGCGAAAGCAGCTACTTTAGATATTTTGGCAACACACTGCATACCCTCAGCTATGTCTAACGATCTCAAGACCTAACTTCAGATTGAAAAAAATTAGGTATACTTGATTACATAGTTCATCATACTCTGTTTTCCACCCTCTGCTGAGTATGTCAAGGTTCTGAATTCTGATGGGTTTCATTTTGAAGTATGTGTATGCTTTCCTTCTTCATGACGTTGGGTTTTACTATGAATGGTAGAAGGTAGATGCTCAGAAGGATTAGAGTGAATGAATCAAGTGTTCAAATTGCGTTGTCATGACTTCTCAGCCCTTGAAAGTTTTGGTTACATTACATTAACTAGTCGGTTAGGCGAATTCGATGCCCTTTCTCGGTTAATCAATGTACTCTATTAATGACACTTCTATCATTGAAAATGCTATGAAAATTATAGCCGAAAGCTCTTGCATTATTGGAGATTCTGAAGTGTAGTTTGGKTTTTTTAGAGCAACTGTTGACGATTTCAGGTCGGGACGGAATTGTCTTGTGTGGTTATTATTATAATGCCCCCATGATGAAGCTGGTTAATGTAAAGCTAGAATTTAGACTTCTCTTTTGCTGAGAGAACACATTTCAGTTATAATTTTCTAATCTCAATATTTCTATTCTCTAACGTCTTTTTACACTTGAAAAGGTTCCTTCCAATGTATTATTATCATTATTTCTTGTTTTGACCAAGATGTGGAGGTGGGCCTGTGTGTGGAGGATTTATTTTTGCTCGAGTTCATGGCAGAAGCATATAAGTATGGAAAAATAAAACAAATCATGTCGGGTGTTCTTCCGTTAACACTGTCCGATGTTGTTGTCTTTCATTTTGTTTGCGTTCTACGAGTGAGATTCTCTCGGCTTTATTCTTACATCTTTCTCTGTCATCAACGATTATCAATTGTACTTCATTATTTTCATTATTCAAAACGTTGTCTTCATTCATCAGATTGCACACCAGAGGTCGATTGTACTTTGCTAGTTATGTCTTTTACTTAATGGAGAAATTATTTGGTCATGTTTATTAAGAATATGAAATAGTGAAAACTCCCTTTTCTTTTTCCTTCTATTTTCATTATGGCTGAGTTTCCCATTATTTTTGAAGTGTACTGTTCGAATTTTAATATTATTTTTCGTGGTTCAATAGTTCAACTGTATTGTTATTTCAAGATCAATAAAAGTTAACATTAATTCATTTTGTGATGAATGTATTTTTTATTTAAAAAATCACTTTTTTTCTTTTTCTAATCAGAAACCAAAAACGAATTATTGCCCGAACGAGGTGCAACAAATTTGATTCGAGTTAAAAAATTAAATACAATTTCAAGTTTCCAGCTTATTCTTATTTCGGGGTTTTTTTTAATAATAATTCTTAATTATTATTATTTATTTTCCAGACTGGTTGACATTAAATATTCAAATATGTGAATTGGGCCCCCCGACCCGCTGATTCGCACCCGATTTAGGTCCACACCCGTGACCCGTCACCCGGTCGCATTTGTACGAGAGGAGGAAGGCAACGCAAGACGAAGGCCTCCTCCATCACCGTGTTTGATTCAGACTCATCTCTCTTCCGGCGTCAATCAATCCGATACGGCCTCGGGATTCAGAGAAATGGGCTCAGAGGAACCCAATTTGGAAGAATTCTTCGTTGAGAAGAAGCGCGCTAGGAACCCTCTCGTCCCCGTCGGTAATTACCCCATCTTCTCCCCTACAATTGCTGCTTCTTCAATTTCTTCGAATTCTATGTTTTTTTCCCTTTGATTTCCGTCTTAGGGATGTAGTAGACGTGCTGAAGAGTGATTTTCTGGGTGTTCTCTTTATGTTTTTTTTTTTCCTTTCCTTCTCTGTGCAATTACGGAGCTCCCTGCCGATTCGGAGATGTCCCGCACCCTCAATAAAATGAGGGATTATATTTATAAATTTTTGTGAATATCTTTAGGGGTTGCTATGTGTACCTCACGCCTCTCTGTCGTTACTTGAACTTAAGAAAATCAATTGAATAGAACAAAAACTGTAGCTGGAGTAATTCTTGAGAGATTCTTTGATTTTTTATAGTGGTGGTTGATTAATTACGGTTCCACGAGCATGGAGATTTTAAGAAGATTGGAGACGGGTTAGAGCGCGATTTTCCTTCGTCATTCGTCAATACCATTAGACAAAAGAGTTTCATTTTAGTTCTGTACATGCGTGAAATTGCTTGATGAGTCAATAGTTGTTAATTCTAGTGTGGCGACGGTGCTGTTTGTTTTCCATGGTGGGTTTCTGTTTGATAGATTTGAATGTTCAGGTGCACTTGTCACTGCTGGCGTTCTCACTGCTGGGTTAATCAGTTTCAGACAAGGCAACTCTCATCTGGGGCAGATGCTAATGAGAGCTCGTGTGGTTGTCCAAGGTGCTACAGTAGCACTGATGGTTGGCACGGCTTTCTACTATGGAGATAATCCATGGCGATCGAGTTAAATGTCTATGTACTGCTCTTTATCATTTTATTTTCAGCATTTCGTTTGACATCGACGGATTTTAGTACAATGAAAGATGGTTGCCTAACAATCTTTCTGTAGGTATAACAATATGTTATTCAGTGATATGGTGACAGTACTTATAGATACTTGAAATAATTCTTGAGGGAAAGAAAGTGTAATATGCATTCATTCTTGGGGCATAGCCGCATAGTTCTGTTGACTTGAAAGATATGAATCCTGGTGTTATGTTGAAACATTGAAATTATGAGAGATAATCCTCGAGTATATTCTCAATTTCTTCATCTTTATTTCCATGAACATCTATATATATTATGTATATTTCCTCTTGTCTACACAAAATGGCCGAAATCTGTTGGAGGAGTTCACTCATTATAGTTGTCTTCTCCTCTACATTGTGTTGAGCATATAGCATTGTTATTTGGTAATCTGCAGTAAATATAGAAAAGGGAAAGGTAGAGACAGGTGAGAAGCTACACATGTGGATGTTTTACTTCCTTTCTTCCATTTTCTGCACATGGTTTCTATTTAGCAGCATTCAAGTTGTGGCTGTAGGTTTGCCAATTGCTACACTTCATTTTCATGTCAAGGCCAAGAGTTCGACTTGAGATCTGTCGCTTTATCTCCTTTAGACTCGACAAATGGGAATGTCTCATTATGAGGTAGGACCCTTCTTCCCCTCTAATCCTCTCAACCTTCTCATTAATGCTCTACTTCTACCTGGTTTTAATTGGTTACGGATGGAGATGCATCCACATGTTCTCATCTGTTAGTCCTTTGTGCGGCTTTATTTGGTTCTCTAATTGCTTTCAGCATTGAATGAATTTGGTCTCCCAATCAGTCTATTGGAAGTATTCATATGTATTTGTATAGATGGATGAAAATATGGTACATTGTATAACTAGAAAGACCCTTTTTGACCAAACAATAATTTAATTTCCTCAATGGAGGACTCACAAATAACTTGTCATGTTATCATCCGTAGAAATCTGTGGTTTTGTTGAGATTGTGACTGCTGGGATTATTTTAGATTTGTCATTTCGTTACCTCTATGAAATACTGAAGGAATTTGCTAGATCCCACCATGTTTGTTGAAATCTATTCTGATGCGTGGCAAGGAAATTTAGGAAATGGGTTCAATTCAAGAGAGTGAATGAAATATTGATAAGAATTGTAATTTTCTGCACTGTTTTGACTTGACTCATTCATCTTTTTTACATTCTTTCATGTGTAATCAGGAAAGTTGCACAGAACAGAATTCCATTTCCCTTCTGTCCAAGGAATTGGGTAAGCCACAGGGTGCAGGGTGACTGTGAATAGTCCCGACGGCCCGTGCCGACCAAATAACCAGCACGTGAGGCGAAGGACAGCTGTCGGAATTCTGGGATTCCAGTGGAAGTTGTCTGTCAGTTTCTGGCAAACAGACTAGTGGCCATGATTTTGTCTTCAAAAGCTGCCTGACACGTGTACAGAACCATCCTCCACACCCATACAATATTTCCAACTATTTACCCACATGGAATTACAATCCCCCACCTGAAACTCCATTTCTCCACAAAATTCAAACCCCACCCCCCAACTGAACTTCTCTTCTTATATATACAAAACCCAAACCCCTTTCCCATCTGTCCTTCCCATATTAATCTCTTTTCTTTCTTTATTGGGTTTCCTCCAATGGCTTCACCAGATTTGACGCCTAATTCCGGTTCCTCTTGCCATAATGCTGCTGCTCCTAGGTTGAAGAGGAAGAGAAGAGAAGCAAGAGAGGTTCGCCGGAAAGTGCAGAAGCTCCGGTGTGTGGTGCCCGGCGGCCGACAGCTGCAACGGGAACATCTCTTCGCCAAGACAGCTCATTACATCTTGCATTTGAGATTGAAAGTTTGTGCGCTTGAGACCATTCTCAAATTGCAGGACCAGGCTTGACAATGAAGTCACATGACATGAATTTTTTCTCTCTTTTTCTCATCTCCAACTCCAAGGCTTTTCTTTTACATAAAAATTTGTTTACTTGATCTTGTTTCCTGTCGATCTGGTTGACACTGGACAAATATAAGTTATTCGCCAGTCACATTGTGGAGTATTTAGTATATATTTGTGTGGTAGTAAATATGTATACAAGTTGGGAGGATCTTAAGCTATGTTTTGCAAATATAATGTGTTGATTTACTCCAGTTGGATTCCCAAGTCTTCTTCACTTTTATATTTTTCTTAATGAAAGTTTATTAGATATCTCATGTTATCGAGAGTAACAAAAGTCGACCCAATTTGTTCAACTGGTTAAACCATATATCTCCATATCTCCACCACAATTGGGTTACAATTTTGCATCTCTGTCTTTGTTTTCGTACGTTTTATGTACGAATATATTTGGATGTGGACTACTTGTTTTTGTTTATCCAATTTGAATACATAACTCGAGAAGAGTTGCCGTTTTAGAGTGCTAAATGAATCCATCATCTTAAAAGTTCATGAAAAAACACTGTTGTATCCCTACAAATATCATTGAAATTTATAGTAACTTTTTTTCACTCTTCAGGATTATGTCTGACGATTATAACTAAAGCATTTAACTCTGTTTAGATGGACAAAAACAGCAATTGACAACAACTTTTTTGCTAAATTTATGATGTGATGCAAAATACAGTGAAATACTAATCTCTGTAAGAACATTTTCAATCCCACCTACCCTAACAAACTAATTACCCATAATTTTTTTTTAAGCTAACCATTGTAGGATGAGGATGAAGTGTATTTACTTTTTCTTAATACAACAGGTGGAAGTTTGAAGACACAACATTTTAATCGGAGATACATAAGATACTTGCATTATGTTCGGATTTATATTAAATAAGAGACGTTAATTACTCCGAGTTATTTCTACCTAATGTACAATTAAAACAGATTAAATTAAATATTTTTCATAGAAAAAGTAAAAGGTCACCTCTTTTGAGTACCGGTTCTCCCCAGCAATGCATTGACAATGGTTTCTTTTATATAGCATAAATTAAATAATTTATTTAGTACAATGAAGATGGGTAAAATTTTGAAGAGAAAAAATTTAGGTGCCTTGATTCATTTAAAATACAATAAAGAGGGAGATGAGAGATTTAACCTCTCAAAATACCTAATACCTAAATCTTGATAAAATGGTATGATGAATTGAACACAACAATTCTTGACAAAATGGTATAATGAATTGAACACAACAGTTTTATCTTAAAGTTAGTTCAATTTCAATAAAAAAAAAAAAGTACCAAGCATTTACTAATGTCAATACTGAAAAAAATAAATAAATATATTACTCTTCTGTAATTCCAGAGTCTTCCCATTGTGCATAGAAATTTACCTCCGATCTATGTGTCCATATTCAAAAAGTAATTACTCCTCCCTCCGATTTCTGTACTCATTCTCTGTTGCCGATGAAACTTCTCTCTGTAATTCCATAGTCTTCCCCTTGTGTTCTGGGCTTTCGTGATTGAGCTGGGATTTCACGCCATTGCGCGGCTGCCCTTGTAAGAAACGAGCCTTCCATTTTCATTCTTTATATTTAGGGGAAAAGAACTGTTTTTCAATCAAAAATGGACATTTGGTCAAGTGGGCAGGACATGGATCTTCGAACAAGACCTGTTTGAAACCATATCCGAGGGGCTTCCATTATTGCCCTCTTGTTGGTTGGATGTCTGGTGTAATGCTTCTGTTTGGTTAAGTGGGGAGGAGCAAAATGGCTTATTTCTTTATTTATCATTGTTGAATGTTGATGTTGTCTTTTTCTCATTGTCTTATAAGTAAAACAAGGGGCTATTTGTTTAGCAACTTTATTGTGATGAAGATGATGTATTATACCCTTTGAGTCTGCTTTTGCTGAGGCTTTGGAGTCATCTGTCAGACAACTTTAAATATATCTTCTGCTGCATAAGATGTTGAAAATTGAATTCTGAGCCGCATGTCTAATCTAGATCTTTATGGACAACGGGTTGTAGTTTCTTGTAAGGCTTTGTCATAAGACGAATTAGTTCAAAATTTGTGTAGTTTATGGAGTTATATAAGAAGTTAATGTAAGTTAGCTTTATTCATACTTGTGGATGCCTTGGCAACTATAGTTGCATAATTTAGCCTCTTGATTATCTTGAGGACTTATTGGATTTAAGGTTGTCTCAGTGATTTGATTAATTTGGTTGATGCAAATATTTGGCTTCTAAGAAAGCTTGTGGGTGAGAGAATATGATAGTTATAGTTTTATTTGTCTTGACAAGAGAAGTAATGCGATTGAGCAATTCTTGGCAGGCTTTCTTTTGGAATATTTGAGGTGTTGGAATTCAGAATGTCGTCTCCAAACAAGCGGAGAGATATGGATGTCATGAAATTGTGAGTTGCTTATTCAGAATGTTTAACAAGTTTTTTCATTAGTTTCTGTTTCGTTGTGTTTACAATTGCTCCCTAGTGCTCTTGCATGTTGATATGTTTCATACGATGATATTGACTACAAGAAATGAATGAAAAACTATTGTGAAGGTGCTAATAACTAAACTTGAGAAATTATAATGGAGGCCAGGAGATTCAGGAACGTGGTGGTGGGACAAGAATCAATTGTGGGAAATCAAAGTATTGTTAAACTTTAATGATCCTAAACTTTAAATTATGTGGTGTCGTTGCTATGTAATTAATGTTTTGCATAACCATGATTGTCAGTTTATTGTGATTAATTCTAATTAACCATATACTGAGAGAATGAATGACTTCACTATGCACTGAAGGTTGTGGCTATCTTCTCATTGATTCCCGTTATACTTTCTAATCTCAAACTTATTGATCATTATTTCTTTGTTGCAATTCTCATATACTAAATCCAGGATGATGAGTGATTACAAAGTGGAGATGATAGACGATGGGCTCAGTGAATTTAACGTAGAATTCAACGGTCCAAAAGAAAGTATTCCCCATTCTCATGCTCCTACTTTTATTTTAATGTATTTTAAATTGCTCCAATGGATAATGATGGTGCCTAAGTATTGTATATAGCAGGTTCCAAGTGATTCTTTTGTCTCTAGAGACCCTTGGTTTCCATGATTATGCATATGATGGATAGTAAAGTCCTTCMTTAATAGTGCTGCAACTTGAAAATGATGCTTCATAACCATTACCTTGTCGAATGCTCTTGGCACCAACCGTTTCTACTCTTAACTAGTCTCATCTAGAATGTTTATTTTCATAGTATATAGCATCATCCTTAAGCTTTACATTGCCTTCATAACCCACAAGCCTTTCGATCGAACTTTTGATCTTAGAGGAGGTAGTTAGTTATGTGACTTAAAATTCAGATGAGGTTCCCTCATATGTCTACTTCAAATGCATTACCCACGAACAGTTTATTTGCTTCAAACCTTCTTGAAAGTCAATGGTCAKTACACACATTCTAATATATAAMATGCTAATGACAGGCCTGTATGAAGGTGGAGTTTGGAAAATCCACGTCGAACTTCCCGACGCTTATCCGTACAAGTCTCCTTCCATTGGGTTTGTGAACAAGATATATCATCCAAATGTTGATGAATTGTGAGCAACCTAAACCTCACATATTATGTCTCTCAATTTCTTTAAGATTGCTTTGATTGTTACAATAGGTGCTTTTTACTGATTCACATCATCAAAAGGTGGAAGCTTTCTGATGGGTTTTAAAACAACTTTCTACTTGCAGATCTGGTTCYGTATGCTTGGATGTGATTAACCAAGCCTGGAGTCCAATGTTTGGTAACTTTAGACCAAATGTCATTTTTACTTATTCGAGCTCGAAGACTCTGACATGAATGCTGACTGACAATTTTTTCTTCTTCTTTACTTTTCTTCTGTTGCATACTTTCGTTTTTCAGACCTATTGAATGTTTTTGAAGTTTTCCTTCCACAGCTTTTGCTCTATCCCAATCCTTCAGACCCCCTGAATGGCGATGCAGCATCTTTAATGTTAAAAGATAGAAACCAGTACGATCAAAAAGTCAAAGGTACGAGTTTACTTTTAGAAAGTTTGTGGTAAATAATGTTATGTACAAACAYGTCCGAGTCAAAATATGCGTAGTCACACAAATGGTCATTTGTATGCTTCTATGTACACGGTTCTTGTCTTGTGATTCATCACGCGGGTTAGATATGGTGTCAAGTGAAGAAACGAGTGAGTTAAAGATTTTTGTTAAATGCAGTATGGTAAAAGAAAAAGTTCACGAGAACGAGATTTAAACGTAGAAACTTTTGAAGATGCGAATGGGATTGCATATTTTGAGTGTTATTTGGTGTGACAGAGTACTGTGAACGCTATGCGAAACGGGAAAATGTGGTGACTTCGACTGCGGAAGACGAGAGTGAAGAAGAAGATGTAAGTGATGAGGAAAGTGATCATTCAAGTGACAATGATATTGCTGGTCATGTTGATCTCTAAATGCCTTACCTGCTTTAAAATGTTATCCCTTATTCAGGTTTTTGTAAAAGAAAAACAAAATGGAATTGGAAGAAGGTCTCAGATTACCTGGCTTGTGTTTTGTAATGAAATGATATTGCAGGTTATTTGGCTAATTTACAATTAGGCTCTAACATTGTGGATGGTTTTCTTGTTTTGGGGTCAATCAATTGAAGCACACAAATGGATGGTGTTGAAATGTTGAGTTTTGTGTGTTTTAAGTCTTAACTCCATATTAGGGACTCTAATTTTTAATAAACTTTGGATTTGAAAGTGTTTTTAGTGTGGAAAATGTTCTTGCTTTGCTTCAGTATCGTTTCTGAATTATACATGTACCTATGTTTGCATAAATTTAATTTTTAAATTAAGGATTAGGTTTTTTAATTCTATTCTGAACTCCAAAAGTATACCTATAATGTAGGAGTGAAAAATTAATAGACATTTGTAAAAGTAGGAATTACTTTATATTATTGCAATAACTAAAGATGTGTGATTTTATCAAAATTAACTGTGGATTAAATTTAATGGTTTGAGCAACATTTTACATGGTTTCTATCTGTCCTTTGCAAACCCTTCAAAAAAATAAAAAGATTTTTTTCAATCAAAGTGTCTCTCATAAACCATAACAGTATTAACCATAAAAGGAAAGAGAGCATGAAAACAGAAAGAGAAAAATTACCAAATATGCCCCTTGATGCCAGAAAAAACTTAATTAGAAAAAGGTAATTCACTCTGTTGTTTTCTATACTTTTAGTTTGAGTTAAAATGCTTATTTTGATTCTTGCAAGTGCTAATTGTGAAATGAAACTTGATAACAGGTCTTAGTTATTAAAATGAGAAAATATAAATCTAATAGTATTGAGTTATCTGAGAAAATAATAAGAGAGTTTATCAAGTTTGCATAAGATATTAGTAACTCGGGATTTCAGGCTAAATAGCCTTTTTGAAAGACCCATTATGAAATGTGACCCCTCTTCTTATTTTTATGTTTTGTAAACATTTATTGTTACCGTCCATTAACATAGTTATTACTTTCCCTCTCCTTTTTTCATTTAAATCTCATATTTTCTCTCTCCTTCCCCCTCATCTCTCTCGATGGTTCTTCTCCCTTCTCTCTCTTCTTCTCTCTTTTCAAATTTTTGGGATTTTTCATTAATTCATGCGAAACCGAAAAAAAAAAACAAAACAGAGGAGAGAGGTAGAGAAAATCTAAAAAAAACTTTGTTCATTTTAATTTGAAAATTTTTGAAGAAAGAAAATATTTGAAATCCGTAAAAATCTAAAAATTTTGAAAAGAGAGAAGAACTGCAGAGAGAGGAAGATGAAGAATGAGAATAGGAGAATGAGAGAGAATATGAGATTCAAATGAAAAAAAGTGTGAAATAAAAATGGTAAGTATGTTAGTGAAAGGGTATAGCAGTAATTTGGAATGGATGATGATGTCAGCAAATGTTTACAAAACATAAAAATGAAGAGGAATACCACATTTCATAATGGCCTTTTGAGAAATGCTATTCAATCCAATTTTCCTAGTAACTCCTCATATTTTAGTGTAACCACGTCTTATTAGTTTACAAACATAAATTATGTGCAATTTTGAGATCTTATTTTAGTTGAATTATGTGCAATTTTGGGATCTTATTTTAGTTAAATTATGTTCAATTTTGAGATCTTACTTTAGTTGAAAAGTAAAAAAACTGATAAGAATGAAGATTTCTATTATTTCACTGTCAAAACGTCCCCCAAGTTGTCAACATGAGCTTAATTCATCCTACCCCACTTGTACTAAAAAAAATTGTTGAGAAAATGTTGTGATTTAACTATAATGACCAATATGTTCATATTATTTCAATTATAGAATATCTTATAGGACACTTAATTTCTAATTTTTTTTGTAAAAAACTATTTAAATTTTATAAGTTTAAATTACAAATTATGTTTTGCTCACCTTAAATTATTTGTTAAAAGATTAGGAAAAGAAATGTAGAACTAATGAAACTTGGTTAGAAACATTTAATTCAAAAATACCCATACATTATTAGTTAATGTTGCTATTTTGAAATTTATCCAAAAATATGCTATATCCAAATATAATTTCAAAAACTGCCCATAACCATTTTTTTTCCTTTTTCTTTTTTTTTTAGTTCAACATGAAATTCAAACTTTCGAACTTTTAATCGATGATATATTCTATACTCAGGTTGGCGCCAATAACTGTATTTTGCTAATCAAGTAATTGAAAAAATAGTTTAACTAAATTAACACATAATCAGTTTTATCAGACACACAACAAACGATTAAAATTATATCCTAATCACTTTGAAAGCCTTAAATAATCAAATACCAAACGGCCCTCAAATTACTAGATAAAAGTTTAAATTGTTCTGCAATCAAATATTGATTGTGAAATAGCAGGAACACCAAAAGACAATATTTTAATACATAAAGTGTAAAAAGGACCAAATTACAAGGCATTAATGTCACGTCCAAATCATTATACTTCCATAGCATAATGATATATTCTTCTTCAAATCAAACAAACAAATAATTATTTCTTTGAAATCAGGAAGTTTGACCTGAGATTTCTACCATCAAGTTCATAGAAAAGCCAAAAGTTGTGGCAAAGGTGGTGGTGACAAATTTAAGCATTCCCAGAAACAAACAAAACCCTTTTCAACTAAAACAATACCCTCTCTCTATACTATACTATATACATACATCAACATATTTTGTGTCCCCTTTGGGGGCATAATTTACTTTTGGATTCTACTCGAAATACTTCATATCAATTTGAAAAGTCCTTATTTACGTACTCTGTAATATTCTCTACTTCCGACCAAGGTGAGATCATATTAACCTCTAATGTGAGACTATGTTTCCATCCGAACATCTTTCTATCCTTCTGAGAATAGAGACAAGGGCGTTAGAGAAGGCGCATGGAAATGGGCGATTGAATGGTCATAATCAGAGAAGGCATTTTGAAGCCATGCGTGCAAGGAAAAGGCAGTGAATACCCCACCCATCACCCATTCGCTAAGGCCCTTCATTTTATTCCTTTGTCATATCTCTTGAGTTTTAGTGACACATCAATCAAAATTCTTCTGTATTATACAATACTTTCAAGTCTCTGCTCTGCCCACCTCTCTCTCTCTCTCCCCCTTCTCTCTCTGGTATGGTCACTCTCCTCTTTGTACCTATTCATTTTTCTATTCTCTCCAGTTATCCTTTTAGGATCGTTCTTCGTTGGTTTTTGTCTGAAATCAAAGTAAACATTTTCACCAGCTGACTTTGATTCATCTTCTCAGTTAAGTTAATGATGCTGTCCCAAGTCACCATTAGTGGAAAGAATGCTCTGGTTAGCAGGCTATTAGACAGGGGGAAAATCATCATTGATGGGAGGTAATTTTATTGTTTCTGATAAATAAAGAGAACACAGATTCTCCTGTGGGCAATCAAGTTGCTATTTTAATGGTGGACCTCCCAACTCACTCATTCCCAATTTTCTTCATACATCAGACATCCTTAGCTTTTTTCTAGTATTTTTGATTTACTAACCAAAGTCCTTGACATACAAAGAAACAGGATAAAGAAAAGGGCACACTCAAAGATCAGGTTTTTGTTGAGAGCAGGTGAAAGAAAGTTGTACCTTGTGATGGTTTGGTAGAAAATGGGCCTTCAAATTGTGAGCTGTTCTGTTAAAAATGTATGAAATTCTCTAGTCTCTTCATGTCCTGTTAGAGCTTTGGTTGTTACAATCACTGTAGGGCTCAACTGCCACCTTGATGGGTAATCTCAGCCTCACCCACCTTGGCTTTCACACTAAAAAAAACCAATCAAATCCCAACCCTCTTCCTCTTCTTCTGTGGCGGATAAACAATTCAAATCTGCAGACCCCATCTTCACCAGCCAAAGACTCTCTGAGTTTTTTAATGGCTTCCTTCATTTTCTGCATCAAATGGTAGGTTAGTCGTAGTACCATGCTACCTTCCACTTAACGTTCTTTGTTCTCTCCTTTTTCCCCTTCTCTCTTTCTCTTTCAGCCTTTTTCACTCAAAAAAAGCAGAAAGTTTCCTCCATTGCCTGGAAAGGAGAAAAGGGAGAGGTTATTGAGTATTATATCAGCTAAAATGTCAAGACTTTCAAATGAAATGAAGCAAAAAGATGGTAATCTGCTATACCCATCTCCTCTTTCGCCTTTTGATGGTGGCGCTGATCCGATATCAAATGATTCCACACCATCATCATCGTCTTCTTTCAGCAGCATCAGCCCAATCCTTCTTCTAGTTATAGTAATTCTAGCTGTCATCTTCTTCGTCTCTGGTTTACTTCATTTACTCGTTCGATTTCTACTGAAAAGATCTTCCCCAGCAATTTACCAGTCCAATCGATACCCAGAAAGGCCTGGATCTCACACGCTCCAAAGACAGCTTCAGCAGCTCTTTCGCCTTCACGATTCAGGCCTCGACCAAGCCTTCATCGACGCCTTGCCTGTGTTCTTGTACAAAGATATTATGGGTTTGAAAGAGCCCTTCGACTGCGCCGTTTGTCTCTACGAATTCTCCGACCATGACCGCCTGAGGTTGCTCCCAATCTGCAGCCACGCCTTCCATATTAACTGCATAGACACATGGCTGCTCTCGAACTCCACTTGCCCCCTCTGCAGAGCCACCCTCTTGGGCTCTAACTTTCCTCTGGAAAACCCTAATTTCAACGAGATTTTAGGGCAAGAGAACGGTTCTCTCAGACACCCAGAGAATTCCCTTTCTGGGAATCAGAAACGAGTAACAACGGAGGAGCCGGCAGGGAAAATGAAGGTCTTCTCTGTGAGACTCGGCAAGTTCAAGAGACTAAACAGCGAGGAACAAGAAGAAGAAGAAAACGACGATGATGAAGGAAGAGAAGAGAAAGGAGAGAGCAGCAGCAAAAATAACCTAGAAGCGAGACGATGTTACTCGATGGGGACTTACCAATACGTTGTTGGCGATTCAGATTTGCAGGTGATGAAGGAGAAAGCAAACCCTGAAAATTTTCCGGGAAATGGGGATGTGGAAGGAAAGAAAATCAGCGGGAGAAGTAAGGGGGAAAGCTTCTCGGTGTCGAAGATATGGCTCTGGTCCAAGAACAGTGGCTTCCCAAACCCTAGCAGCTCGAACACTCAATGGAAGCGGGAACTTGTCTGAAATTTTCTTCGATTTTGACATCAATGGAAGTTGGAACTCCGATTGAATCAGAGAAATGAGATCAAAATGATCCATGGGAGGAACTTGAATTCAGTTTTCTGAGAAAGATAACACTATCTAGATGAAGAGGCTTCTTCAGATTGTTCTGAAATTTTAATATCAAAATGATCATCTCTACGCCATCACCATGTGTGTAAACCTACAGAAGAAATTCTTACTCCAATTAATGCGAAGGAAGATAGAAATTAGAATGTGGGCATGTCTGAAATTAGGTTGAAATCGATTTTGGTTTCCAAAATTTGATGTGTATTTTATTTTTGTCCTCGAACTTTTAAATTTTTTATTTTAGTTTTCAAAACTCTGCATAAAAGGTTTGTAGCCTGTAGCTTCAATATATGAGTGAAAAATAGCACAGAAAACAAATTCATTAACATTTCAATAAGAAAGTAATTTTGTTTTTTATCAAAATAATAACAATAATTTTGTTTYTGGCGGACAGTCTTTGAAAATCATGCTCATTTGTTCAACTTATTTTTATTATTTATTATTTATTATTATTATTTATTTTTCGTTTGTAGTATGCTTTCTGTAAAAAGTTTTAAAATGTTCTAACCAAAATTTGAAAACTACAAGTAATTTTACATCAACATTCACCACAACAAGAGGTTGAGAGTTTGATCCTYCTATCCCTACTTGTTGTATTAAAAAAAAAAGAACTATTAGTTGGTATATATTTTTTCAATAATATGAACGAAAGGTAAATATAAAAAATGTAAATGCTACCAAATAATCTCATTACTAATTCTATAATAATTTATAATAATTCCAAATGTTCTGAACTATTCTTGATTTTGCTAATCTGAATATAAATCAGTTGATCAAGATACTTGGACACCTCTCCATATTGTATTATAAAAAAAAAATCTAAGATTGATTTTGATGTTTTTAATTAATGAATCACCTTTGTTCAAGAAAATAAATTGACGATCTTAGAAATAATAACATCAATCTTTTAGGCTACCTCTCTACTTTTCTATTAAAACTCCACTCCCTCTCATTTTAGTGTAATATTACAAAGAAAAAGAAAAGGGTCGATCATAAACATTGTATATATTGTATATAGATTGGTTTTTCTTTGAATTTAAAACTATAGATATCATTTTACATTTTCCATGTTTTTGTCAACTTCACCTTTAAAATTATTTATTTATTTATTTATTTATTTATTGAAAAGCCTTTAAAATTATTTGAATCAAATACAATTGGAGTTACATTGATCTAATATAAAACTACTATGAAAAACTACTATGAAGTATATCAAATTAACCCACAATAAACTGATCCGCTGTGAATTTAAATTAGTTTATTGGTTTGTTTAAGTTAAAAAATGGACATTATTGGTTTGTTTAAGAAATAGATTTAGTGAGTTGATCTGCGACTAACTTGAAATGATGCGGCTGTTAATTTGATAAAATAAGTTAATTTAAACCTTATATTAATTTTATTTTTCTTTCCTCTTCATCACTCCTTCTCCCTCAACTTCAGTGAATGTTGTCGCTAATCATTCTTATCATCACCCACTGCCTCTCATGTCGCACTTGTCAGAGTCGTTTCAGTCACCTTTGTTGGAGAGGGTCCTCCCTCCCACAATGGGAACGAGGGAGGATCCCTGCATTAGATCTCTAGAAATAGAAATTGTAAATCAATCGCTCAATCCGAAGGAAAAAAAAAAGAAACAAGAACAAAGAAATCAATCATTGTAAAAGAAACTAAAAAAATAATTAAACGCAATTACAATCCTGATCTCACAACTCATGGGCATGATCAATCAAGCGAAAGTACTTGGAATAGGAATACGTCTCCATCTCCAGATTCAAAGTAAAAATTTGGGCAATCAAACACGTCTCCATCTCAAAAATCATGAAAGTTGAACGATTGATTTACAGTTTCTACTTATAAGAATTTAATGCGTGGTCTGGATTCTCCCTCGTTTCAGTCATCGGAGAGGAGGAAACTCATCTCTCTACTCTAAGAGTGTTCATGAATTGAGTTGGATTGGATCGAGGTACTTTTTAGACCCAACCCAATGGCCAATTATTCAAGTGGTAAATTTATTCAACTAAAACAATTCTTATTAAATGATAAATTCAATCCAACCCAACCATAAAATATTTTGATTGGGTTACGAGACTATCACTGATAGGTTGATAAGTAAAGAAAATAACATAAAAATATTTAAATAGTCCTTCAAATTTTATGAAAAGTTGCCTTATTTCCCCAATCTTGTTGGTATATTTATAAATATTTACCATCCATTGAAATTTCCATAAAAGTATGTCAACTTGAAATATTAAATTGTTTTAAATTAAAAATTTCAACCCAAGAGCACTACGAATATTCTTCAATTGTAACATAATTCATTAGCATGAAAAAGCACCCGGTCCCCAACGATGGATGAGTCAACAATATATATACTTTTTTGTTTGACAAATAAAAACGGGGATTTATTTTTAATATAAGATATGCAACTTATTGAAAAGAACATCGGTGTTATATTTTTAACCAATGTCAACACCACCATAGAATATACCTCTTTCTTCTGCACCTAAAGAATAAAAAACATAGATATTTTCCCTACTAAAAAAAAAAAGAAAAGAAAAGAAACATAAATATTTGCACACTGTAAAAATTTATATAAATAAAACTCTATTTGATATTCTTAATTATACATATTTAATTGGAAAAAATAAATAAAATTGTATCAACTATAAGAATATAAACACCAATCTTCTCGCTACACGTCACCCCCGCAAAAAGAAAAAAGTAAACTAATTTTTATTGAACACGCGTACCGCCGCCATTGGC